AATTAAATTGTGTTAATTTTGCTTGTAAAGTAAAACGAATTATAACGGATAAGAGAGGCATATCGTTTTCAACAAATTTCTTGAAATATCTTTTTTGAAAATTACAGAATAATTCTTATCTTTTTTAGCGTTCATTGAATTGCTTTTCGCAGCCATTTTGAAGCAATTCAGATATGGCGTATTTAATACGCATGCGCATTTATTAATTGTATTGCCACAAAAGGGATATTTATACTTATCATCGGGAACAGACAGATGAAAACTCTAGAGTATATAATGAGGAAAAGGAGCTTTGAAAACTTGATAGGCACAGGATATTTGAAGAAAAGAATGGTAGAGGAAAACAACGCATAACGTACCTAGCGAACTTGGTGTGAAACAAGTTTTAAGAGACATAGAAAAAAGTCATAATTTATTAAGAGCTACAAAGGACACTTAATTATGAAGAGTCCGGATTGTCAACGTCCTGAAGGGATACGGCACGACGACGACGAAGAAGAAGAAGAAGAAGAAGAAGAAGAAGAAGAAGAGGGAGGAGGAGTAAGAAAAGAAGAAGAAACGGTAGGATAGGAGGATAAGAAGAAGATGGAGTAGGAGTAGGAAAATGAGGGGGGTAGGAGTAAGAGAATGAGGGGGTAGGAGAAGGAGGGGAGAAAGAGTAGGAGAATGAGGGGGAGTAGGAGTAAGAGAAGTAGGAGGAGGAGCAGAAGAAGTGGAAGAAGAAGATGAGTATCCCTCCGTACCTAATTTGCTATTCCGTCTTGGGATGTATATCCACTCCGTAAAAGCGTTTTCACGAATTTCTTAGCTGTTAGATTACCATTGAAGAAAAGTTTTATTCCGTGTATTTCCTTCATTGGAACAAACATCAAGTATCAAATAATTTAGTAGAAGGCGCTGCCAGTGTTTTAGTTGATAGGTTCCTCGGAGTTTTTAACTCGTAATTCCCCTGGAAGAGCATCAGCATATTTGGTTTTATGGTCATTTACAGGAGTAACTGCCTGTTACTGGAGAGTATGTTACAGCTTCTCCGATCTCTCTAGAATTGATATTAATTCAACTGATCAATCTCAGTTTGGTGATTATATCACGTGATTCCTCTTAGCAACTATTCATTAATCTGTTTCACATTTTAGACGGGTTTTTGTTCATAAATATTTACAACAGCTATTTGCATTCTCAAATTGAATCTTTTCTTCTTCTTCTTCTTCTTCTTGTCCTTCTTCTTCTTCTTTTCCTTCTTCTTCTTCTTCTTCTTCTTTTCCTTCTTCTTCTTCTTCTTCTTCTTCTTCTTCTTCTTCTTCTTCTATGTGCCTTTCCTTTCAGAACGCTGCTGATTATGGCTATCTACAATTTCCCGCCCTTTGTACCACTTGGTAACAATTAGCTCTTTTTATTTTTCGAAACCCTGTTCTGCCTAGCCATCCACACAGGCTCGCTTCGTAGATTATGCCTTGTTTACTTCTGTTCAAAACACACTTTTTGCGCGCTAGAAAATTCAATTATCACTTCCCGATGTTAAGAATAAGCGTCATTATTTTTTTCAATATTCTCTAAAATTTCGCTGTTGTTCACATGTTTGTTTTTGTGGTATTCTCAACACCCTGTTAGAGAACAAGATTTCTGTTGCTTCAAGTTCCTTATTCATCTGTGAGAAGTAATAACAGCAGGCATTAAAAAAGATTGCAACACCGTTAATCTTAAATTATTCGGTTTTACGTCACTTTATACCGTGTACATTATAATTCTGGAAAACGAAACATTCATATAAAATTAGATCAGACATTAATTTTAATCAACTGTTTGGACAGACTTTGAATTTTGACAGTGTCAAGAAATTTTTAGCATACCCCTGTGTCTATATAAAACAGGATCTGTCTTTAACCCATTAATTGTCAAATTTTTTTAATGCGCATTTGTGGCCCAAACAGGTATCTTAGGGCTTTATTTATTCCTTATGTTTAATTTCAGTAGTTATCGTTATCGTTTTTAAAGAAATGAGAACATCAAATATATATGTGTATAAAACATAAAAAAATAATACTGATAATAAAAAAAAAATACTTTTAAAAATAGTCATTATTTTTCTACTCGTGAAATGTAAAAATTACGACAGAATGTATCTTCTTACTAATAATAAAATCTTTAAAAGTTAACTGTTGTAAAATATACCTCTGCAAATGCAATGTATGTAAGCAAATCAATGTAAATACAAGCAATATCATGTAGTGAGTTTAATTTTAAGCGATCCCCAAATGAGGCTCATGGCAGGTAACGGGTTAATCAGAATCACTAACCGGGAATATATGATTAATTGTGTATCTTGAAGCAAAAGTTTTAATGGTATACTCACCAATGTTTTTTTACGTACAATACCGTGATCAATCCTCATTCTAATCTGTAAAATATGTCTTAGTGAAATAATTAAAAAAAAAAGCATGTCATGGATTTTTCATCAGATTACATTTTACCACTTATATTATTTATATTATTCGGACTGTTATCCTCATCTTCATTGCCATATCCACAACGTTTCGGCCGTTGTACACTCCGGCCTTCATCAGGTGATTGGAATTGAATCGAACCCTTTATTTCGTCCACCGAGTAGATTGTTCTAGGTCCACGTGCTGGATGTCTCAGTTATTTCCCTTTAGACCCAACTCTGTAAGTTTTGGTTCACCGCTACTGTGGCCTTGTATTCAACTTGTTGTATCCTTAAAAAGTTACAAACATACAAACTTACTTGAGTGGAAAGGAACAGCAACACAGGCGTAGATGGAAGAAAGTGAGGTTTATTGTAAAAGAGAATACACTACTGAAGACAGGGAGTCGACTAACACATCTCAAAGCCAGTCAGACTGATAGACAGACAAACAGTCAGACACTGGTATGTCTTGTACACACAACATATATTACGGATAAAGTCAGTCTATAATAGGTAATAGGGAGAGTGGAACATTCCATTACAACAGAACTCAGAACTCTTTGGGTCTAATCACTGCATCCAACCAACGTCTTTATCTATTGGGCCAAAACGTTGTGGATATGGCAATGAAGATGAGGATAACATTTCGAATAATGTAAATAATATAAGTAATCATAATACCCCATCTCAGAGATATAGAGAGTTACATTATATATATATGAAATTTGTTAATTTAAAATTCTACGTAGAAAACAACATGTAAGACATGAAGCGATTTCTGCTCTAATAATGGTTGCGATGTTCCATACATATGGGAGTTGGATAGAAAACATTAAAAAGAATATTATAACGCCTGGCATGAAGATTGTGAAGATGTTTTAATAGTGTGTAGATTTCCTAGTACAACATGCAAAGTACAACTGTGTCCTGGTCGCGGCGCCAATTGTAACGTCACCCCTGTCTCTGCGCCGTCGCCGACCTATCCTGTCCTGTGACGACCAATGTGACTTGGTATTGGTAGCGGCACCAAATTTGACGTTCTAACCTTTTGCTGATTCGGATGGGAATCTGGTTAGATTCGGTATCAGCCTTGTCGTTCCCAGCTCGCCTCCAACGTCTGGTTACCGAAGTAACTGTCTTGATTTCTAGTCTAACCTACCCACGTTGTGATTTGATCTTAGGTAGACGAAATCAATCAGTCGTCGGGCCATAATGAAAGTCGAGTCCGGACAATTATATGTAAAAGAAAATAAAGTAACAACTCGAAAAGTTCAAATGTGTTAAAAAAGGATAACAATATTTTATATCTGGTTGCTGAATACAGAACGGAGTCTTCCTCCCAGCCCGCTTATGAATACGTGACACTTTGCGTTTGTTAGGTGAGTCTTAACATCTTAAATGGTTCTTTTAAGAAACTGGTTCTTAGTGTATCTTCAGGCGTTATTTGCAAAACTTGTTTTGGTGGCGTGAGTCTAAGTCGTTCTTCAAAAATAAATTGTTCTTGGTTAGAAGTTGAGGTCGTGATAGCGTGGCTCTTAAGTCAGCTTTCTTCGAGGCGGGTGTTCAGAGCTCTCAGCTCAACTGCAAACTGCAACTGCTTTCCTGTCTATGACTCCAACTCAACTGCAACTCAACTCAAAACTGGCGTCCACTCGCTGCGACTTTGCTTATATGGACGCCGACCAAAACCGGGGTGGGCCTGTCGGGGTTTGAGGTTCCTTAATAATTCTAAATCCGCATCAAGGGTTTTCTTTGTTTTTGGTCAGGAAAACCCATCACTTTCCATTTTGGGGAATCTTTTACTTTCTACTTTAAGGGAATGGTCCTCCCAATTTCTTCCTTTCTCATATGGGTATCTCACCCAATCCCTTCAGAGGGCGTCAACAGGCCTCCCCTTCTTCTTCATGGTTTACCTTCGCCTACCGCTCACGCCACCCTTCAGCCAATGAACGCTCAGCGGCGTAGGTGTTTGCTAATTATCGCTCAAAGAAAAAAAATATCTTTTTTTTCTTTTCTTTCTTTTCTTCTTCCAAACATCAAATCCTTAGACTCTTATCTTAACCGAATCCCAGCGTCAAGTGGTAGGTTTGACTGGACATATTTGCATTCTGCCGCTAATTAACTGTTCCGATAAAATAGTTTTTTTTTTTTTATTATTTTTTATCATGGCCAGTTCTTGACATGAAACAGGTGCCTTTTCCAAACGACATCTCCGCAGATAGCTAATGGGCCAGTCTTTCTTTCTTTGTAGTATGGTCCAACGGATATTTTGTTTTTCGGTCAGTGCGTGCTTAATTAATATTATCTCTTAGCACTATGTCCAGTAGGCCACTCGACCAATTTGAAATTTTCTTTATCGCCATGGGTAGGCGACTGTCTTTTATTCGGTGCGTCGTCATAAATTAAATCCAGTATGTTATTTTCTTCGCTAATGAAAATAAAATCTTTACCACTTTTCTTTGCTTGAAAAAATAGCACCGCTCAGTGTCTTTTCGTGATAGCTTCTTATCACCTAATTTAATGCTCGCCTCTTTTTTTTCACACAACTCTAAGTAGTGTCATACAACGTCTTTGCTTAACTTCGGTAGGGATTAAGAAAGATAGCAAATATACAAACGTTGCTAAGAACAAAAAAAAAGGATAGGAAATGATAGAAACCCAAATTCTCTTGCGTACATGACAGATAGAAGATGGGGATATATTAATTATTATTTACAGTGACTTGTTTCCAGGGAGCTTTTCATACATTTTGAGTAAATAACACACCGTTTTTTTCGTTTTATTTTTCTAAATTCAATGTTGCGAAAAAAAAAAGGGATGAGAAGGAATAGATGTTAAATTTCCGGTGTACAATATTATAGATCTGTCATTGGAGACGTTTCATCTTCCTTTTAGAAGTACATATGAGGAAGAAAATTAAGTATGAAAATTAATTTTACGAAGGATTTTATTTTGGAAAATATCGGTAAACAACAGCATTTATATATTCTATTTGGTTAACAGAAAAAAAAGTTGTATTATCTTCCTTTACTTTGCGTAGAAATACTCACATTTTTATGATGTTGCTGCAAAACCCATTCACAAAGGTAGGAATCGATCAAATGAAGAATAATGGAAGGAAAAACATTAAATTTCTTATTGGGAAAAATGTGGCAATTGTTTTGACCTGAGACATTCAAATATGATAAAAGAGAAACTTATTCCTATTTGATGTCTTTCAGTGACGTATGAAATATTTTTTGTAGTAAGTGATTAAGTTACTTATGGTATCATAAAGTAATAAAAATGTACTGCAAAAATCTTTGGACAAAATGGATTTTCTGCTGCTTAAGGATCTGTTGGCTGTTTTTCCTGTTTTTTTTTTTTTGTTTTTTTGTTTTTTTCTTGCAAGATCAAAGTGCTCTTAAGACCGGAAGAGAAGATGTGGCTGGAATAAAAGTATAGTTTGGAACATTCATTCAACATTAATTTCTTATCGGGAGTTATAAAAAGAAGAGAGATGAGGTTGTATTGTATGACGGGAAAAATGTTGAAAAACCTGAAAAATAAAATCAACGCATGTCTGCAGTAACAGTGAATGCACTGAGCAAAAATAAATGTTTAAATTGCTATCCACACCCTTCTCTTCCGAGCCAGAGAGCAACATAGATAAATGTATATATGTATAATTTGAAAACTTCTGGAAATATGAGCAATTCCAAGAATTATACCGTAAGTATGGTGTAAAAACTGTTTTTTTTTTATAGGGAAAAGTTCTGTCGCTTGAACGCTGATGATTATTGGCGAGTGCAAAAGCTCATCTTAGCTAAACGAAAGAAAGACAGGAATAAAAGGAAAAAAGAAAGAAAAAAGAAAGAAAGAACGAAAGAAAGAAAAGAGAGGAAAAAGAAAGGAAGAAAAAAAGAAAGAAAAGATAAAGAAAAAAGAGCATTGTAGAATAAAGAAGAGACGATTCCTGACGTCATTTTTTGGGATCTGTTTTATGAGCGTTCGTGTGGAAGAAAAATGGTGGATAGCGTTAAAAGCAAAAAATTCCGTCGGAAATCGGATGGATAAAAAAGAATTTAAAAAAAAATGTAGGAGGCGACAATGCTCACATGAGGCAAATATTGCGGACATGTATACCTAAAACAGTAAATAAAATAATGATTTCATCACAGTTAAACACATATCCTCCCTTTAAAACTGTTTACGAACAACTTTTCGAAAATCAAGAGGAAAATTTAAATAAATTCCAATGCCATTCGCTATCACATGCTCAGGTCTTATCGAAGAGAATGGGATTTAAACGTATTATCGATTCCTTACCTTTTTGCATTAATTAAATTACTTACCTCTATCAATAGGAAACAACTTGTATGCTTCCCGATTTCAAATCAGAGATTTTTTGATGTAGAAAGTAAGGGAGATAATTAATCTTAGAATATGAATATATTAGAGTCTGTCAATATTTCTGTCTATATATGTCCACTTTTGCACAAATCTCATTGGGTAAGAAATAAATCCATTTCTTTTTACTCCATCTATAAAAAAAGGGAAATAAACTCGACTAATAAGCCTCGCATGGCAGCTAGTCTAGGAAAGAAACAATTCGGAAATTAAAATTAAATAGCGCGAGAAAAGACGGGGGAATCACTCTACAGACTTTCATAAGATGTCATGGCAATTCACAGATAATGCAAAAATGGAATTTATTCCTATAGCCTGAACTTATAAAACTACTTTAAATACAAAAGCTGAAGAAGACAAAGAATGACAACTACAATATTATTTCCAAGAAGTCACAGAAATTCAATGTTTATAAAGAAAAGGAATCTGTGGTGAGACATGATCAGTTATGAAATGCTGTGATATTAACAAATATTTGTAATTGAAGGTATTTTATATAAATTCATTTGTATATGTAAAATTAAAGCAATTTTCGACTGTTTTAAACGATATACATTATAAAAAGGAATTATTTACATATTTAGATGTACTGCTAAAAAACATTAGTTCACTGTGTCGTGCGAGACAATTTTTCTCTCCAGAATCTATCTTACATATATACAGGGTGTCCATAAAGTTCGTATGCACAATAAAAAAATTATAACATTATTTGTATTTGCGATAGAAATAATTTGTAGAATATGTTATACAGTTTAATGTACCTAGTTTCAAGTACAGCTAAAATAACTAATGTGATTTCACCCAGTACTGTAAATCAGTTGGCAAATGTTTTCCGTGAACTGAAAAATCGTATAACCCTTTGTATTGCTAATGATGGAGGACATGTGGAAACTTAAATAAAATTTCAATAAAACCTTAACAAATATAGATTTACTTCTTTCTAATTCTTTTTACAAATTATTTCTATCGCAAATACAAATAAATTTATAATTTTTTTAAAAGTGCAAACAAATTTTATTGACAGCTTGTATAAATCTACCATGCTTAAAATATTGCTGCCATAAATGGTCAGGTTCTCCTACTCTAGAGATGCTTGATGAAATACAAAGAAGAATCAGCAATATTATTGGTCTCGATCTAGCATCTCAGCTTCAGTCTTTTTCTCACTGACGTAAAGTTGCCTATAAATACTTTCATGGTAATTATCCGGATGAACTCTTTGCTATGTTGTGGGGCGTGGGGGGCTATTACTAACATCATTTTGTTTAGTTTCTTGTAAATAGACTTGTTTTCACATTGTAAATTCTCATTGGGGCTAGTTTTTAAATTGTTTCTTTGTTCCCCTTTCCCCACAGACAATGAATTGTACATATGGTGTTTATTTAGGACTTTCATGTAGACAATGAGACATTATGGTGGATGTAGTAAGAAAGGTAAGAAAGAATACCTTGTTTTGATGTTAGGAATGTTGTCACATGTTTGGTCAATGTTTGTAGTTAGCTAAGCGTAACGTTAAGGCAGAAAAAGACCGTCCTTTTCCCCATTCCACATTTTGTCCTTGTGCCACATTTCTATGTAAATCAGAATAAATATCGCTCATCGCTGTGGTACCGAGACTTTAAGTTCTATGCTAATAGTTTTTGTTTCCGCACTTCTCGCTTGTGGAAATCTCTCCCGGCTCCATGCATACCAGTCTGCATAAAATGTGAATGCAATATCAATCGCCATCTACTCTCCTCTTGATTAAACTTCTTTTGTTTTCGCTCCTTAGTAATATTTATGTTTTCTAATACATCCACGACATGTAACCCGATCTACTCTAGTTGCTTTACTACTTTTCTTGGGGTGAAAGGAATATATATATATATATATATATATATATATATATATATATATATATATATATATATATATATATATATATATATATATATATATATATATATATATATATATATATATATATATAATAAATTAATCTCCTCCTCCTCATACTTACACTCTCTCTAAATTCTGTTTTTTTTTATTTCCGGAGTTGTTTTTTCTGTTTTTTTTTTTTTTTAATTTGTAGGTCTGATGAATTGGATCGTATTTATGACCATGGAATATTAGTGTTTAAGCCTTTTTATTATATCCTTACTCTGTCCTGGACATTGAGTTCTACCTGGATTCTTCCTCTTGGAATTTTTATTCAAAAAATATACATGTATGTGTATTTATATATTTTGCATATGTATGTATATTTACCACTAATATTATCTATCTATCTATATATATATATATATATTTCTAAAAAAATATGTTGTAGCCTATTTTCTCATTGTCATGTAATTTAAGTGAATATCCTTAAATTTTACTCTTTTTAAAATCTTCAACGAAATAAGGCTTTGAAGCCACTCAGACGCAAGCGGTTAGTGAGAGTAAAGGAAAAACGAGAAAACGTTGTTGAGGAGAAATTACAAGAGAAAGACCAATATTCAAGGAGACAGAAGATGTCGATTGATGGCGCGTTTTAAATTTCTTCGGGTGTTAGATATGTATTACAAAGTTGATGATTTGAAATGATTTAAATTTGACACCTAAATCTGAAAGCGTATTGCAGTAACGAAAGATTTCTTCCAATTCTAAGAAAAGTATTCAGAAACAGGAAAATCTAGTTAAAAACAAAAGAAGAGTGTGCTGAACTGTCATGTAATATCGGTTCTCCTAAATGGCAATGAATGCTGGACAATCTACTCACAGATAAACACACGATACTTTAGATAAAAGAAAATATTGTTCTGCAAAAGGATGCTGGAAATTCCATGGAATGAACGTGTGAGTAACGAAGACGTTTTAGGTAAAATGGAAACGAAAAAGAGACTTGTACCTAGAATCAGAAAGATCCAAATGACATTCCTATTCGTATTGAACAAATATGGCTTGATGATTCTGACACTCACAGGTCATACTGAAAGCAAGAGTAACAGAGGAAACCAGACAATAACATAAGTAGCTTGTGTAAATGCTTGGCAGAACAAGGATTGTGATAGACAGCAAAAATATCAAACCTTTATAAGAGTTACAAAAGGCAGAAAGTTGTGGAGAGCCATGATCGCCCAAGTCCGGAAGGGAAATGTTACATAAAAGAAAAAGAATTGTGATTCATTTTTACCCATATTTTCATCACCTCTGATATTCCGTATTTTTCGCGTTTTTCCATTGTCTTGCATTGCGAGATTATACATCACTCTTATCAGTTGGACTCCTGGCATCTGATTGGCTGATAGTGATTCACGTGTATATTAAGTAAATTACATAGGAAAAATGCGTCGCTGATCCTATAGTGAAAAGTCGTAAACGAAAGACTGCAAAAGCTACATGAAGAATTTAAATTAAGGAGAATTTATCTACTGTACAGGGTAGTAAGGAAAATGTAAGATTTTCAGATGGAGTGATATGAGAAGAAAGACTAAATGGAGATAAGGAAATAAGAAAAAAGAACAAATACGAAGAAACTGGTAATGTTATATTGAATGTAAAAAGAATAAAAATCACAAGGATATAAATGATGAAAATGACGAGTGAAATGAAAGAGAGGGAAAATTAAAACGGAAGTAGTATAATAATAGTTAACGAAATGGAGAGTAAGCATGAGTATGAAATCAAATGGAGAGTATGATAAATGAGAAGAGGTTAAATAAAGGAAGTTTTGGTACGTTTCGGCGTAGCCTATTTGGCGTGGCTGATTCGGCGTGAGAAAAATAATTGGACTATTCGGAACAGCTGTTTAGGCGTCAAACTGTTTCGACGTCACTGTCTTTGACCGGTGGCAAACCCCCACTCCCTCGCAAAAAAAAGGATAAAAGCATTGAAAACACTCTACTTTCCATATGACTTTAATTGAATTAAAGATCCCTCTTGCTCGTTGCCTCAAAAATAAAATGGTATTCATTGTGTATCACTTTGTTTCTTCCACGCTTTGATAAAATATTAGCTTCCATTTTGGAATGAAAGGGCTTTGACGACTGAAAAATATGAGGCTGCACTGAAGAAAATATAATATGAAAATATCTCCAACTACTTTTCTTTTTAAATTGGACTATTCGAGCATATAACGGCGACGTACTAATTTGACTACTAAACGATATATATATATATATATATATATATATATATATATATATATATATATATATATATATATAGAGAGAGAGAGAGAGAGAGAGAGAGAGAACAAATTTGATTATAACGTAGCTGATTCGGCGTGACTGATTCGGAGTCAGAAAAATAATTCGACTATTTGGCACAGCCGTTTAGCCATCAGACTGTTTTCAACGTCACTGTCTTTGACCGGAGGTAACGCCCAAAAGAGGATAAAAGCACTGAAAACACCCAACATTCAATATGACTTTTTAATCATTTAGGGAATTAAGGATCCTATAAAAACAGTAATTGAATAATGTAATCTCACTTTACATCGATCTTTCTGTTCATATCACCAAAACTTTAATTCAGGATCCCTCTTGCTCGTTGTGTCAAAAATAATAAAAAAAAAAGTAACATCGTGTATTACTTTGTTACTTCCACGTTTTGATAAACTATTTGCTTCCATCTTGGAATAAAATGTCTTTGACGACTGAAAAATATGAAGCTTCACAGAAGGAATATGATATAAAAAAATACCTTCAACTACTTTCTTTCTTAAATTTAAAAATGCCTGAAACTATTCCTTATTTTTTAAATATAAAAATGCATCCAATTACTCTTTTTATTAAATTGCACTATTCGAATATACAACGACGAAGTACTAATTTGATTACTAAACAAGAGAGAGAGAGAGAGAGAGAGAACAAATCTGACTATAAACACGAAGTCGTAATCTAACGCCAAAAAGCCCTTCTGCCGAAATATTTCTGTGTCGATTCGGCATAGGAATTACTAGACACTCAAAGGGTACATATAATCTGGCAGTTCCAAACGGCCTCACGTCTAGTTACCAAACGAGACAATTTAAGAACAAATGATAAAAAAATCTAACGGCGCCACTTTTAATCAATACTAGCGAAACGTTAGAAGTGTATTATACATTTTACTGTTTTTAATTTCATCCTCCGTTATTCACAATCCTCTCTGTTCACATCAGGATCCCTCTTGCTCGTTGCGTCAAAAACAGAAAAGGTATCCATCATATATGACATTGTTTCTTCCACGTTTTGATAAAATATCTGCTTCCAATTGGAATAAAAGGGCTTTGACGACTGAAATGTATGAAACAGCATTGAAGGAAATACAACATAAAAATACCTACAACTACTTTTCTTAAATTTAAAAAAGCCTCCAACAACTCTTCTACATAAATTGAACTATTCGAGCATACAACGACGAAGTACTAATTTCATTACTAAACGGGAGAGATAGATAGATACAGATAGAGAGTGTGAGAGAGAGAGAGAGAGAGAGAGAGAATAAATTTGACTATAAACACGAAGTAGTAATCTAGCGCCTAATCGCCCCTCTGCTGAAACATTTCTATGTCGAATCGCCTACGCCGAATCGGCCACGCCAAAACAGTGACGCCAAATCGTCCCATTCCCAAAATAAAGGTGTTGTACTGTGTTGTTTTACGACATGTGATTAGTAGTCAACTTCCTGTCATCCGACACTTTACTCTACCCTTTATTTATCCTATAACCAACATATGCAAATGGATAAATTCCTATTTGCTAATCCAACAACACCTTCCTGAACCGAAGAGGTTTAACATCTTTCTTTGTTCTTGGACTTCACTAAAGAGTTTCCTCCTCTACCCAGGTTTATGTCCTGCTCTTTTTAATGAAGATCTTGGTCTCATTTCCGTATTTAAATTATTCCACGCTATCATCCATAGGGAAATTTTCCTGATCTGAAGAACTTATCCTTTCTTCCTTGTCAGGATCTTCCGCTTCAATTGTGGGTCTTATTTGGTCAAAATAAGTCATTAGGTTTTTCCCGTTCTTTGATATATTGGCTAGATGATATCCCCTTTGCATAATGAAATTAGTTTACTCAGGACTTGCTATATTGTCTTTTATATACATTTTTCATTTATGAAGTAAGACATTATTAATGGAGATCTTATTAACGTAGATAGACTTTGCAATCTCTCTGCATGTGGAATGATCCTATAACTTAATAGTAACCTTGGTAAGTAACTGTCTATAGCATTTCTACTTGGGAAACTTGTCTTCAATCCCATTTTGAGAGTCTGCACTATTCTTTCTGCAATTTACCTAAATTTTCATCCGGTGAGTTGTCAGATGTCAAATCTTCAGGAACTGCCATACAATTTAACCCATAGCAGGATATACTCATGGATTTATACGGTACTCGGACATTTAGCCGATGGACGTTTGACCGACGGAAATTTGACTGAGGGACATTTGATGGACGGACATTTAGCCGAATGGACATTTGACCGACGGAAATTTGACTGAGGGACATTTGATGGACGGACATTTAGCTGAATAGACATTTAGCCGAGAATGTAGTGGCGTACTTACATGTATGTTACACTCTTGACTGAGGGACATTTGATGGACATTTAGCCGAATGGACATTTGACCGACGGAAATTTGACTGAGGGACATTTGATGGACGGACATTTGATGGACGGACATTTAATTTGACCGAATGGAAATTTGACCGACGGAAATTTGACCGACGGAAATTTGACTGAGGGACATTTGATGGACGGACATTTAGCCGAATGGACATTTGAACGACGGAAATTTGACCGACGGAAATTTAACTGAGGGACATTTGATGGACGGACATTTAGCCGAATGGACATTTGACCGACGGATATTTGGCTGAGGGACATTTGATGGACGGACACTTAGCCGAATGGACATTTGACCGACGGAAATTTGACTGAGGGACATTTGATGGTCGGACATTTAGCCGAATGGACATTTGACCGACGGAAATTTGACTGAGGGACATTTGATGGACGGACATTTAGCTGAATAGACATTTAGCCGAGAATGTAGTGGCGTACTTACATGTATGTTACACTCTTGATCGTAATGTGCTACATATATTTATATTTATTTACTGTATTAATGTATAATTTTTCGTTTATTTCTTCTTGTGACAGGCTTCAATTTAATCACTTGAAATTTAATTGTAATTGAATGTAATTCAACTTAACATTTTGAAAATTGGGATCCTATTGGAATTGTAATAAATTTTGGAATCGTCTAATTATTAATAGGAGCCTTATAAATTGTCAATACACTTTCTCCAAGTCTCTAGTCATTTGACCCTAAGCAAAATAGTTTTTATGAAATATCACAATAACTGAAATGATTTTTTCAAAATATATTATATATTATTACGATTGTGACGGTTACACACCTGGCCCAGGGTCGAATCCCTTGGTTACGGCGCCAACTGTGACGTCGCTCCTCCTGTTCGCTCCTCCTGGTTCCAAGCGTGCCGCTCCAACCCCTTGGTTGGATGATCACCAGCCTCGCCTTTCCCAACTCGCTTCCAATACCTGGTTACTGAAGCAACTGTACTGATCTCCGGTCTGTCTACCCACGTTGTGTTTAGATCTTAGACAGACGGGACCAGCAGGGATTGGGGCCGATACAATTTGAGTCCGACGGGGGTGGCAAAACACAAGTAAAAAAAAAAAAACTCACGAGACAAAAATTACTGATAAAAAAGGGTGACAACCTTTTTATATCTAATGTCCGTTACATAAAGAAAAATTGTTCTCAATTCCCGACCCGCTCTGTGGACTATGGCACCAAGCTTCTATCACACAACCCAAAAGATTTCGAATTGCCTACTCTTTAGAATTGTGTAGGGCGGAGTGTGGTTTAGTTCGACACTGGGGCTAATTTCTATCGATCATTCGCAGTTGATTCTTCTCTTCGACTTGAGTTGTATTTCTTCTTCTTCGTCGACTAAGATAGAACTTCTCTTGTCTTCGACTTGGCTGCAACTTCTCTTGTCTTCGACTTGGCTGCAACTTCTCTTGTCTTCGACTTGGCTGCAACTTCTCTGCGGCTTTCGAGTAATCTTCTTCTTCGTCTGCTTGGGCTGGAAGTTCTCTTGTCTTCGACTTGGGCTGGAAGGATTTCTTGCCGCAACTCAGCCGCAACTCTCTGTCGTCCGAGGTGATATCTTCTCGCTGCCGTCCGGGGCTGAACTCTGCCGTAACTCTGCCACAACTCTCGGCGTCCTTCGAGCAATCTCCTTCTTCGTCTGCTTGGGCTGGAAGTTCTCTTGTCTTCGACTTGGGCTGGAAGGATTTCTTGCCGCAACTCAGCCGCAACTCTCTGTCGTCCGAGGTGATCTCTTCTCGCTGCCGTCCGGGGCTGAACTGTGCCGTAGCTCTGCCGTAACTCTGCCACAACTCTTGCTGCCTGTCTGGCCTGCAATTCTTCTTCTTGTCTGCCTGCAATTCTTCGGCCTGTCTGGCCTGCAGCTCTTCTTCTTATCTTCGACTTGGCTGTAACTTCTCTGCGGCTTTCGAGCAATCTTCTTCTTCTTCGACTTGGCTGCAACTTCTCTGAGGCTTGCGAGCAATCTTCTTCTTCTTCGATTTGGGCTGGAAGGATTTCTTGTCTGAGGATTCTCTTGCCCGCAAAGGGGCGAGTGAATCGGGCCCGATGCCCGCGTTCAGGCTCTTTCCCTGCCCGCGGTTCAGCTGCAACTCCACTCCAACTGATTTCTGTCGACTGGGGCCCTGCTTTTATTGACGCCGCAACAAACCGGGGTGGGTCTGTCGGCGTCAGGCGTTTCTCAATAATTCCAATAGCTGCCTTATTTCTGTCTTCTCATTATCGCTATTGTTTCCATCCCTACTTCCTCACAGTGCCCTTGGTGGGGAGGCGCACACCCATCCTTCCCGGTCCCTCGTATGTCAGGTGACCGCTCTCGACCAATGATTCCTGATCGAGCACTTCTTTCTCTTCTTTCCGCAGATCACGTGACCGTTTCCGACCAATGGTTCTTGATCGAGCATCCTTTCTTTCTTTCCGCATATCACGTGACCGCTTTCGGCTAATGAGATTGTGGTTGGGCGTGGTTTACATCGTTCTTGTTTTAAAAAAAACAAAATCTAATTTTGCCCTTTTTGCACGTACGAAAAATGACAATCTTGGCTTTTTCTCACCTGGGCTCTGTCAAAACAGCCCGCCGCTAATTAGATGTGACTTCAGGGAAGAATACTGGCGCTATCTGTGAACTGAGACAATCGTTTTTTCACCTCTTGTTTTGTCAGACCCGACAGTCAGAAAATCTTAATTATCTACATTGAAAATGTCCCCACTTTGTTATCATGGGTTTCCAATTCTTAATAGGTCAGAATCTGTATATAGTTCCACCGGTCACTCCCTCAACCCAAAAGACACTTTTTCTCCGATTAAAAAATTTCGTTTCTATTGTTCTAAAATTTCCCTTTCTCCAGATTAAGATTTCGTTCCCATTGTTCTAAAATTTCCCTTTACTCCAAATTGATAATGAGTCTTTCTACGCAAAAAGTCGGTCATGCGCTTCGACCGACATTCTTATCAAAATGACTTTCCCTTCTAAATAATATTTCTTTTCATTGTCTCTCGAAAATCGGCCAAGATGTTGACCTAAATACCTTTCTGATACGTGTTTTTGTTAATGACCGCTTTTTGCATTTCTTGACCTCTCTTTCCTTCTTTCTATCTTCCTCTTTTTCCTTTTCTTTTTTTCCTCTTCTCCCTTAGGATCGTCTAAGTACAATCTTAGTGAATTATTTTCAACTCAATTATTTTCCGTTTAAAAAAAAAAAATCAACAACCTGTTTAGTAAACCGAGTAAAAAAAAATTAAATCATATTTCTATGAATATTTCTAATAATGCAAGGTGCCACACGATTTACACATCATGGAAGTCATACCATTATACATGGTACTTTATTTTATTAATTTTTGGGTTTTTAATTTTTTAAATAAAATAATAAACACAACCTTACTTCAATCTCTGAGAAAATAGGGGATTATCTGTGAACAATTGCTAACACTAATATATTCATAGTACACTAATGTAAAATTATTAGTCCTATGCTACCTTATAATACTGCTAATTAAAATACTTAAATATTGCTTGTACTATGTTTACTTGGACTTTTTTGGTTAAATGCCCGTCGGCCCAATGTGCATTCGGCCAAATGTCTCTCGGCTAAATGTCCCGTTACGATTTGTACCTTTCAGAATGGTATTTGAGCGAAGATCGATGTAACGAAAGTCGTACGGAACGCGAAATCTGCTCCTCGATCCGTTATCCAAACACAACCTGAGCATCCACAGAAAGGTTAGAATAGTAATGACGTCATAAAGAAGAACAAAGTTCTTGAGAACATTCGACGAAGCTAAAGACGGCTAAGGGAAAATGTAGGTTATAATGACAGGATAATCAAGAAAAAAATAACTGTAGCCGTATAAGGAAATATA